CCGTTCGTCGAATGTTTCAAAATTTTCTTGTGATATGGGTCGATGCCGATTTCGATGCGTCTAAAGACGATTATAAAAAATCAATGAAACATCTGCAACATGTAGCGGCAACAGTCGCAGTGTTTACAGACCGTGACGAATCTATTGATTTTCTCACTGATACTGAAAACGAAAAAGTATCTATGATTGTATCTGGTACCCTAGGACAACATGTAGTACCGGTAATTCAAGAATGCCCACAGTTAGTCTCAATTTATATTTTTTGTGATAACCAATTGATGCATGAACGATGGGCCAAAACAATTGCTAAAGTAAAAGGTGTATACACAGAAATTGACTCGATTTGTGAAGCATTAAGAATCGATCGTGAAAATTGTGATAGAGCTTTGATATCAATCAGTTTTAATGGTTTGGACCCATTATTCATGTATACACAATTGTTGAAAGAAGCATTTTTGGATATAGAGGATGATGATGCGAAATCGATTAAAGAACTTGCTGAGTACTGTCGCCTTCAAGATGGTGCTTCCTCAAAAACAATTGAAATGATCGAACGAGAATATCGTAACCATACACCCATTTGGTGGTACACAGGCCCATATTTTATTTACTCAATGCTCAATTGTGGTCTTCGACTAATGAATGTCGACATTATACTTAAAATGGGCTTTTTCATCCGACATTTACATAACCATATTACAGAATTACACCGTGAACAACAAGGCAGCATGCCGACAAAATTTCAAGTCTTTCGTGGACAAGGTTTGCCCATGGAAGACTTTGAAAAAATGAAAATAACCAAAGGAGGACTTATGTCCTTCAATAATTTCCTGTCAACAAGCCGCAGTCGTGAAATATCTTTCAAAAGATTTGCACGACCAGCTACAAAGAATCCCAGTTCAGTTGGCATCCTCTTTGTTATGGCCATCGACACGGTGATTTGCATGAAATCCTCAACACCATTTGCTGAAGTCAGCAAAGTTGGCTACTACAAAGACAAAGAGGAAGAGATACTCTTTTCAACACATACGATTTTTCGCATCGACCGCATTGAACGAATTGAAGATAAATACACAGATCGCCTATGGCAAGTTAATCTCACCCTTGCAGGTAATCAAGATGATGATTGTAATAAACTCACAGCACACCTGCGAGAAGAGATTAGTGGGGAAACCGGATGGGATCGACTGGGTTCTATACTTATTAAATTAGGTGAGCCTGCAAAAGCAGAACATCTCTATCAGATACTCCTCGAAAAGGCATCTACTGACCAACAGCGATCGGATTATAATCTTCAACTTGGTTCCGTGTATTATGGAATGGGAGAGTACTCGAAAGCACTTTCATCGTATGAACGATCACTTGAAATCCAGAAAATAACTGTCCCTCCAAATCATCCCGACTTGGCTGCTTCCTACAACAACATCGGTATGGTGTATAATAACCTGGGCGAGTACTCGAAAGCACTTTCATCGTATGAACGATCACTTGAAATCCGGAAAATAGCTCTCCCTCCAAATCATCCCGACTTGGCTGGTTCTTACAACAACATCGGTTCGGTGTATCACAACATGGGCGAGTACTCGAAAGCACTTTCATCGTATGAACGATCACTTGAAATCAAGAAAATAGCTCTCCCTCCAAATCATTCCAACTTGGGTGCTTCCTACAACAACATCGGTGGGGTGTATAAAAACATGGGCGAGTACTCGAAAGCACTTTCCTCGTATGAACGATCACTTGAAATCCAGAAAATAGCTCTCCCTCCAAATCATCCCGACTTGGCTACTTCCTACAACAACATCGGTTTGGTGTATTACAGTATGGGCGAGTACTCGAAAGCACTTTCATCGCATGAACGATCGCTTGAAATCCAGAAAATAGCTCTCCCTCCAAATCATCCCGACTTGGCTTCTTCCTACGGCAACATCGGTTCGGTGTATCACAACATGGGCGAGTACTCGAAAGCACTTTCATCGTACGAACAATCTCTTGAAATCAAGAAAATAGCTCTTCCTCCAAATCATCCCTCCTTGGGTTCTTCCTACAACAACATCGGTATGGTGTATAATAACCTGGGCGAGTACTCGAAAGCACTTTCATATTACGAAAAAGATCTTGAGATCAGTAAAAAAACTCTCCCTTCAAATCATCCCGACTTGGCTACTTCCTACAACAACATCGGTTTGGTGTATTATAACATGGGCGAGTACTCGAAAGCACTTTCATCGCATGAACGATCGCTTGAAATCAAGAAAATAGCTCTCTCTCCAAATCATCCCGACTTGGCTTCTTCCTACAACAACATCGGTTTGGTGTATTATAACATGGGCAAGTACTCGAAAGCACTTTCATATTATGAAAAAGCTCAAGAAATCTGGAAAAAATCACTACCTTCAACACATCCACATATTGCCCTGGTGAAATGGAACATTGAGATTGCGAAAAACAAAATGTAATTTTTTTTAATTTTGAAAAGAGAAAATAAATTGCCCTTTTCTTGAAAACCCGCCGAAGTGAAGCAGCTGCAACAAATTTCGCGCACGCGCAACCAGGGATATCCTCCGTATTCCATTGGCTCGTACAGTGGACAAAGCCGGCAATGGTTAGGCAAACATACACCTATGTATGTATGACTAGTACATCCATGATCATCGCCTTTGAAAAGACGATGATGAGATGAACGCTTCTAGTCATACATACATAGATGTATGTTACGAAGGCCTACCATCTGCACGCCTGCACGGGTCACCAACAGAACGTCGGATATCCGTGGGAAGGTTCAATTATTTTAGAGCCACCCTCAAAAGCTCCGTTAGCTTATAATTTTTTTTTATTTTATTCTTCTGTCATGAAGAACGAGAAGAAGAAGAAACGGAAAGAAGAAAATATATGAAAACGGAAAGACGCGATGAAAAACGACGTTGACAGAATTATAATACGCAGTGCACAGAGCTGGGCAAGTCAGAGATTCTTCAAGTCACAAGTCAAGTCAAGTCAAGACAAAATATTTCCAAGTCAAGTCAAGTCAAGTCAAGCGAAGGAAATTTTTCTACCAAGTCAAGTCAAGTCAAGTCAAGCGAAAGCAATTTTTAGATCAAGTCAATTCAAGCTAAGGAAACTTTTAACCAAGTGAAGTCAAGTCATTAGACATGACTTGACTTCAGTAAACTTGAATCAAGTTTATTTAGCTAGGCTGAAATGAACCTTAGTGAAGTCAGAAGTATTAGATAGTTTTCAAACGTAAAACTAATACAAATGCTCCAATTTCGTTGCACCTTTTCAATTAAAAGATATAATCGTTATCGATGTTTTCTAATCATTAAAAGAGTTCTTTCAATTTAAGTACTTTTATTTATACTTTTTCACACAATCGTATTCAAGCATTAGAAGTATTTTATATAAATACCAAAAAAAATAGTACAAAATATACACATATCATACATGGCAAAATATAAAAGGTTCACATATCTTACGGCAAAATATAGAAGTTCACCTGTCATACATAGAAAAATAAAAAAAGTTTACATATCATATAAATAAAATAAATACAAAAAACTTCACACGTTTATCCAAGATGACTGTTACATTTTAACATTGTTAGCATTTGTAGAGTTGTTTTCGACATTGAGGCTCTATGCTGACGCAAAAGAAATCCACTCTGTGAGAAAACACGCTCTACAGGTGCTGACGTTGCTGGAACACTAAGAACTTTTATTGCTAGTTGACTCAATGTTTTATACACAGATGACTTTCGAAATACTAACATACTATGATTTCCGACATCTTCTACAAATCGTGAAATTTCATCTCGAATATATTGAAATGGATCTATAATTTTTTTTCTTTTTTTATCACTTTCAAGATAAGAAAACAAACTTTTTCTTTTAGAATTGGAAATAGATATAACTTCTTCTTCTTCAGTTTTTTCATGTGTTTCAGCAACGCTTACATCATTAGCTACATTTCGTAAGAGAGCACAATGATCAAAAACAAGATTTTTTATTTTAGTACAAACATCAATTTTTTTTTCTTCTGGAAGACCAGATTCTGTAATCCATTTTAATTTAAACTTGCCATCTAAAAATGATGAAACAAGAAATATTGGATCTTCGTATAAATCATATGTTCCTTTCTTTTGTATTGGTATATCGAATTCAATATTTAATGACTTCAGAAGACCACCAAATCGTGCAATTAATGATGAAAGTAAAGCATTACAAAATGTAGTTGTATAAGTAAGATTGTTTCGTTCATTAATTAAGTCGTAGTAAATTGAAACAATGCTTGGACCAACAAGAGATATAGATGGTGAATGTTCAGCTTGAGTAGCTGTAGTTGCTTCACCGAATAGAGTTAGTAATGATACAAATTCATTTAACATTGATAAATCACGTAATCCCAAATATAAGTCTTTTCTTTTTAATTCAGTTAACATTGAATTTAATTGTGTTGATGGTATTTCAAGTACCTTTTGCACGGTATAAAGTTGGCTATTCCAACGAGTTTTATTAGCTTTTGGTACACTGGCACCAATATTTTCTAATTTTTCAGCAAATGATATGCTTGAATGTGCTAATTTTGCAGTTTTAGAAACTTTAACGATTGCTTGTTTAATACAAGTTGCTTCTTTTAGTCTATCTTGAACGACGAGCTGTAGTGTGTGAGCGAAACAAGGTAATCGTAATGCACTTTTTGATGCTAAATTATCAAAACTATCTTCTATAACATTTAATGTTTCGCTCATTGATGATGGAACATAAGTCGTTGCGTTGTCATATGAATCATTATCACTTTGGTCTGAACCACTGTCATCACTATCTGGTGCATTATCATCATTAAAGTAAGATTCGAATCCAGGTATAATTAAATCTTCGAATGCTTTGATATTGTTTGATGCATTATCAGTTACAATGCGGCATAATTTATTTTGTATTTGATATTCATTAATAGTTAAATTATAATATTCAAGTAATTTTTCACTATTATGACTTCCATGCAATGGTAAAAAACATAAAACATATGACTTGAATTCCATATTAATAATAGCATGACCTAAGTAATGAATGCTAAGTTCAAAAGATTTGCAAATCCTGAACATTTACCTGTGATACTGAAAAACGAACGCGTTCTTCTATCCGTCCAGATGTCCAATGTTAATGATATATATTCAGATGTTGCACAAAATTCCTTTAACATATCATTCATTTTACGATAAAGACATGGAATTGTTGTTCTTGTTAAGGTTCGCCGGCTGATATTCTTGAATTTTGGATCGACAGTAGACATAAATTTTACAAATTCTGGTCTTTCTACTAACGATAAAGGAAGACCAGCTTCAATTATTAAATTTTGAACAATTGCATCATGTAATTGTTGTTGTCGTGGATGACTAGGTGGGTATGATTGTTTTGAAGGTGATGACACTCTTCTTTTTTTGGAAATATAGTCAAATAACTTTGGTTGTTGTTGTTCTGATTGTTTTAATTTTTGAGACCATTCATTATATTCAGTTTGATGATTTTTCTTTACGTGACGATTAGCATTAGATGTGACACCAATATTATCGTATACTGTTTCTTCACATATTATGCATTTGGCCGACCAATTTCTTTCATTTTTTATAATGTCTGTAAAGAATTGATCACGAGCAGTTTTTGCAAAACATTCATTTTTGGGCGATAGTTCATTGGTAGATTTCGGTGTTGCAGATAATGATGTTGTTGAAGTTGAAGAGCTTGTTGTTATTGAAGAATATAATGTCGTTGATGAATTTGAATTTGATGACTCAGAGTTATTCATCATATTTGAAAGAATATCAATAAATTCTTTTCAATTCGATTCTTTTAATATGCAGCCGGTGCCTTTATTCTCGTTCAAAAGATCACTTTCAACAATAGAGTGATTGTAAGAGATGTCTCGATTATCTATGAAACATTTTGTCCTTTTCTTTTCTTTTCTTTTCGTTTCTATTCTTTTCTTTTCGCTTCGTTTCTTTTCTTTCTTTTTGTTCTCAATGTGGTACTCGATCAATATTCGTCACGAACAAAGGAAAACGATAGTGCAGTATCATGTTCAGAACAGACAAAGAAAAAAAAGACTACACTGTTCCAGACACAATAAATTTGTCCTATGAATTCATCGTTGAATGTGAATTTGTGAACAATATATGATATAACACTTTTGTCTCTACCACATAAGAAATTAAATAATTCATGAATCAACATCGTTATCACACATTGTACAGTTCTTTAGATTGATACAAGCGCTAAATACATATAATTGAAAGATATAATCAGATCTGGGCAAGTCAGAGATTCTTCAAGTCACAAGTCAAGTCAAGTCAGGACAAAGTATTTCCAAGTCAAGTCAAGTCAAGTCAAGCGAAGGAAATTTTTCGACCAAGTCAAGTCAAGTCAAGTCAAGTCTGACTTGACTTGACTTGACTTGACCCATTTTTGACTTGACTTGCCCAGCTCTGGCAGTGCACGATAACAACCGGTGTTTTGATGAACACTGTGATATATTGAGTGCACGATATGTTTATCATCTTTACACATTTTGTTTCTGTTTTTTATTGCGAATGTGTAAGAACAATTGATATGTCGTGCGCTCGACATCATATCAAACAAGCGATGATTGAAGTGAACGAACGACAGGAACGAAAAAAAAATACGAATTTAAAACATATTATTTTAAATATGTGTGTTAGAAAAAATGAAACCTAGATTTTGAAAATTTAAATTTTAAGACGCAATTGAACTTGATTGCATTAACGATTGATGCAAAGTAGTGAAATTATAAAGGACGGGGGGCGATTTCTACAGAAATCGGCCCAATTGAATTTTAATGATCTGCTCGGGTAGAAACAAAGGAAATGATGGTAGAAAGTATACCTTATGGTTTTCAAATGATTTTTCTAGGTATTTACAAGTTCAGGATCCGATTACTTCTTCAATTTCCTGTGTATACATAGGAGCATCTTTTGGTTGTCAAGTTTTACANAAAGGCGTTTACACTGCCATTAAACCAATATGTCAAGCACTTGAAATTGATCGACAACGATGTGATCAAGCTATGATTCCAGTAAGCTTTAATGGTCTCGATCCTCTATTCATGTATACACAACTGTTAAAAGAAGCACTCTTGGATATCGAAGATGATGATAAAAAATCCATCAAAGATTTAGCCGATTATTGTCGTGAACAAGACGATATTTCTGAAGATCAAATCAAACAAGTTGAACGTGAATATCGTAATCATACACCCATATGGTGGTATACAGCTGAAACATTTATATATCCAATGCTCAATCGTGGACTTCGACAAATGGATGTCGACATTATTCTCAAAATGGGATTTTTCATACGGCATCTGCACAACCATATTACACAATTACATCAGGAACAACAAGGCCGCATGCCGACAAAATTTCAAGTCTTTCGTGGACAAGGTTTGTCCATGGAAGACTTTGAAAAAATGAAAAAAACCAAAGGAGGACTTATGTCCTTTAATAATTTCCTCTCGACAAGTCGCAAGCGCACGATCTCATTGGACAATTTTGCACGACCAGCTACAAACAATCCCAGTTCAGTTGGTATTCTCTTTATTATGAACATTGACACGGCGATTTGCATGAAATCATCAACACCATTTGCTGAAGTAAGCAAAGTTAGTTTCTTCAAAGGTAAAGAGGAAGAAATACTCTTTTCAACACATACAATTTTTCGGATCAACCGGATCGAACGAATTCCCGACGAGCATACGGATCGCCTATGGCAAGTTAATCTCACCCTCGCAGGTAATCAAGATGATGACTTTAGCAAACTCACGGCACACCTGCGAAAAGAGATCAGTGGGAAAACCGGATGGGCTCGATTGGGTATTATACTTATTAAACTAGGTGAGCCTGCAAAAGCAGAACATCTTTATCAGATACTCCTTGAGACGGCAACTTCTGATGAAGCTCGAGCTGACTACAATCATATGCTTGGTTGGGTGTATAACGGCCTTGGAGAATACTCGAAGGCGATAACATTTTACGAACGAGCACTCGATATAAAAGAAAAAACTGTCCCTCAAAACCTTCCCGACTTGGCTTCTTCCTACAACAACATCGGTAATGTGTATGCTAAAACGGGCGAGTACTCGAAAGCACTTTTGTATTACGAAAAAGATCTTAAGATCAGTCAAAAAACTCTCCCTCCAAATCATCCCGACTTGGCTGCTTCCTACAACAACATCGGTTTGGTGTATGATAACATGGGCGAGTACTCAAAAGCACTTTCATCGTATGAACGATCACTTGAAATCCGGAAAATAGCTCTCCCTCCAAATCATCCCGACTTCGCACAATCCTACAACAACATCGGTCTGGTGTATGATAACATGGGCAAGTACTCGGAAGCACTTTCATCGTATGAACGATCACTTGAAATCCGAAAAATAGCTCTCCCTCCAAATCATCCCGACTTCGCACAATCCTACAACAACATCGGTCTGGTGTATGATAACATGGGCAAGTACTCGGAAGCACTTTCATCGTATGAAAGATCACTTGAAATCAAGAAAATAGCTCTCCCTCCAAATCATCCCGGCTTGGCTGCTTCCTGCAACAACATCGGTTTGGTGTATAAAAACATAGGCGAGTACTCGAAAGCACTTTCATCGTATGAATCATCACTTGAAATCAAGAAAATAGCTCTCCCTCCAAATCATCCCGACTTGGCTACTTCCTACAACAACATCGGTGTGCTGTATGATGAGATGGGCGAGTACTCGAAAGCACTTTCATCGTATGAACGATCACTTGAAATCCGGAAAATAGCTCTCCCTCTAAATCAACCAGACTTAGCTAGTTCCTACAACAATATCGGTACGGTGTATTATAACATGGGCGAGTACTCGAAAGCACTTTCATCGTATGAACGATCACTTGAAATCCGGAAAATAGCTCTCCCTCCAAATCATCCCGACTTGGCTGCTTCCTACGGCAACATCGGTACTGTGTATGCCAAAAAAGGAGAGTACTCGAAAGCGCTTTCATCCTATGAACGATCACTTGAAATCAAGAAAATAGCTCTCCCTCCAAATCATCCCGACTTGGCTACTTCCTACAACAACATCGGTGTGCTGTATGATGAGATGGGCGAGTACTCGAAAGCACTTTCATCGTATGAACGATCACTTGAAATCAAGAAAATAGCTCTCCCTCCAAATCATCCCGACTTGGCTGCTTCTTACAACAATATCGGTTTGGTGTATAATAACATGGGCGAGTACTCGAAAGCACTTTCATCGTATGAACGATCACTTGAAATCCAGAAAATAGCTCTACCTCCAAATCATCCCGACTTGGCTTCTTCCTACAATAGAATCGGTAATGTGTATAATAAAATGGGCGAGTACTCGAAAGCACTTTCATCGTATGAACGATCACTTGAAATCTCGAAAATCACTCTCTCTCCGAATCATCCCGACTTGGCTTCTTCTTACAACAACATCGGTCTGGTGTATTGTAACATGGGCGAGTACTCGAAAGCACTTTCATCGCATGAACGATCACTTGAAATCCGAAAAATAGCTCTCCCTCCAAATCACCCCGACTTCGCACAATCCTACAACAACATCGGTTTGGTGTATGATAACATGGGCGAGTACTCGAAAGCACTTTCATCGTTTGAACGATCACTTGAAATCAAGAAAATAGCTCTCCCTCCGAATCACCCTGATTTAGCTTCTGACTACAACAACATCGGTATGGTGTATAGAAAAATGGGCGAGTACTCGAAAGCACTTTCATCGTATGAACGATCACTTGAAATCCATAAAATAGCTCTCCCTCCAAATCATCCCGGCTTGGCTTCTTCCTACAATAGAATCGGTAATGTGTATAATAAAATGGGCGAGTACTCGAAAGCACTTTCATCGTTTGAACGATCACTTGAAATCGAGAAAATAGCTCTCCCTGCAAATCATCTCGACTTGGCTGCTTCCTACAACAACATCGGTGCGGTGTATGATAGCATGGGCGAGTACTCAAAAGCACTTTCATCGTATGAACGATCACTTGAAATCCAGAAAATAGCTCTCCCTCCGAATCATCCGGACTTGGCTTCTCCCTACCTCAACATCGGTAATGTGTATGATAACATGGGCGAGTACTCGAAAGCACTTTCATCGTATGAACGATCACTTGAAATCCGGAAAATAGCTCTCCCTCCAAATCATCTCGACTTGGCTGCTTCCTACAACAACATCGGTATGGTGTATAGAAAAATGGGCGAGTACTCGAAAGCACTTTCATCGTATGAACGATCACTTGAAATCCAGAAAATAGCTCTCCCTCCAAATCATTCCGACTTGGCTGCTTCCTACAACAACATTGGTATGGTGTATAGAAAAATGGGCGAGTACTCGAAAGCACTTTCATCGTATGAACGATCACTTGAAATCCGGAAAATAGCTCACCCTTCAAATCATCCCGACTTGGCTTCTTCCTACGCCAACATCGGCTTGCTGTATGATAGCATGGGCGAGTACTCAAAAGCACTTTCATCGTATGAACGATCACTTGAAATGCAGAAAATAGCTCTCCCTCCAAATCATCCCGACTTGGCTTCTTCCTACCTCAAGATCGGTGTGACATATAAAAACATGGGCGAGTACTCAAAAGCACTTTCATCGTATGAACGATCACTTGAAATCCTGAAAATAGCTCTCCCTTCAAATTATCCCGTTTTGGCTTCTTCCTACGGCAACATTGGCTTGCTGTATGATAGCATGGGCGAGTACTCAAAAGCACTTTCATCGTATGAACGATCACTTGAAATCCAGAAAATCGCTCTCCCTCCGAATCATCCCGACTTGGCTTCTTCTTACAACAACATCGGTCTGGTGTATTGTAACATGGACGAGTACTCGAAAGCACTTTCATCGTTTGAACGATCACTTGAAATCGAGAAAATAGCTCTCCCTGCAAATCATCTCGACTTGGCTGCTTCCTACAACAACATCGGTGCGGTGTATGATAG